GGTTGTAGAAAGAGGATAGCTAGGTTTTTTTTGATTTTGGTGGGGGTGGGTGTCCCAGTCACAAGTGCAGGGGTCTGTCCTAATGGGGACTTGTCAGTACCCCGGGACCTGGAACACACTCAGCATCTGGACAGCAGGCAGCCTGTCTACACCACTCTCCATCCTGCCCCAATCTAGACATAAAAAACAGTTAAATGCTCCAGAATAATATTTCAAGAGATACTATTTTGAAATGTTTCAGACAGTTTTAGAATGTTTCAAAGGGCTTGTATGTGTGCACAGCTAGAAAAGGCATTTGAAACCTTTCAATTGTTTCATATATCCACACTCTTAGGTTCAACTCCTGGTGCCCTGTGTTTATTTAACCTCTCAAAGTCTTAATTTTCATATCTACATATTGGGTAATAAAATTGCTTTGCTTTACCCGTGTGTTAAGCTGTATTTGCTAAAGCTTGTGAAGGGTTTTGCTGTTCGAACATATGACACATTATAGCAATAATTCAGAATATGAAGACCAAAAAACATGATTAGGCTTTTGTGAACAGAGACCTTAATGTCATTTGAGAGGTTAACAGCAAAAAACCCAACTATTCAAGAAATATGAAAGCATGGAAATGGAAGATGTTTTAAACTTCATTTTAAAAAGCTCATTTTCTTTCCTATCTTTCCCTCTTCTTGGACTAAGTAGTCTGTTTAAGTGAAGCACATAGGTTCACCATTTCTGTTCCAGTAAAACAGTCCAGGTTCCCCATTTCTACAGTAGATACCTGTGAAATGGCTGTTGAAGAACTTGCTCAGATAAAAGATTAACAAATAGGTAAGGAACCTTGTTCTCTGAAGTACCTACTCCGAAGTTCTGCTGCGGTGAAAACCACTGTTTTCTTCTCATTCCTTTTACCTTCTTATCAGCCTAGAATGGATGCTAGTAATGAAATAAAGGCTAGTGATGAAATAAGTCAACACACCATTAAATGGAACAAATGCACAATTAAAAAATAAGCATTTAATCTGTTATATAAATTTATTGCCCAGTTCAATTTACTGTTGGTAGGAAATGATCAAGAGGAAAACTTGGATCAAGAATGCAGCGCTGACCCCCTTATAAAAAAATGATGTATTTTATATACGCTAAATCTTTTGCAAATTGATTAAATGTAAAAGATCTTACATCTATGTATTGCATTAACAATCTGTAGCACCTACAGCTTGTGAAAATCATATATGTTGAAAACCTGGATACACATTGGTTTAGATCAGTACTGAAACTGAAAACTTTTGAAAACTCTATCTCCTGAACTTCTAACTTGCTCATAAAGAATATTTTTTATTTCTTTTGTACTGTAACACAAACATGGAAAAAATCCTTTGATCTCAGGCTGCTGCCTTTGAATGCACCACATTTCATGTAAAAGTCCCATAGAGCACAGTCTCTAGGCTACACCCCTTGTTGTTTAAAGACATCCCAGCTTAAATTAAGATATTCCAAACCCTTTCAAAAGAGGAGCAATTTTTAAATGTAGGAGCTGGGAAGGAGCACGGAAATGGATGCTCATAGTTGTATGGATAAAGACAAAACAAAGCTGCCTATTCCCACAACCATTGTGAGGTATTTTTAGTATGAAAAGGCAGAGCATAGTGAAATAATTATTTCCATAGCTGATCTCAGAAGTGATAAACACAGCTGAAAGGTTGCAAGTCAGATCATGCTATACCTACAAGGATATTCTTTATTTATTAGCTTTCTAGCAACTAATCTTTTCAGTGTCTTTCATGACCGGAGAAAAGCAGCAGCAAAAAGCCACCCCCCACCAGCCTGATGTACCACTGCAGCTGCTACTTCCTTCAGGTCACATAGGTTTGTGCTCCTTGTCTGGGCAACGGTACAGTACCTATGTTACTTTTACCCTGGGCTCCATATTAGGCATTAAATCCTTTTGATCCAGAAACTCTTTTTCTCTTTAAATAAGCACATCAGAAAAGGGTCAATTTCTTACTCTAAAATTTTCACCTTCAAGAGTTATGGAGTTCAGTTACAGGAGGAAAAAAAAAAAGAACTGTCTGCTAATTCATTTTACATATGGTGTTTATCAGGGGAACATCTCTGTCTGATCATCCATCTACTCACCCGTTTTCACAGGAAGAGTGAAAGCAAACCATTAATGACACTATGAGGTATTACCTGAAGGGGAGTTCAAAAGAGGATGGAGCTAGACTGTAATCATTGATGGTAGATGACAGAATTAGGAGCAGCAAGAGAAGTTTAGGTTAGATTTTAGGAAGACTTTTCTCACTAGGAAGGTAGTAAAATACTGGAACAAGTTACCCAGAGGGGTGGTGGAAGCTCCATCCTTGAAAGTTTTCAAGACCCAGCTAAACAAAATTTTGGCTGGGATGATCTAGTTGGGGATGGTCCTGGTTTGAGCAGGGGGTTGGACTAGATGACCTCCTGAGGTCCCTTCCAACCTTAATTTTCTACGATTCTATTAGTATAAATAATATTACTCATGTATGGAGCATGTGACAGTCAGATATGTTATAGGATCATTGGTAAATAAGACTTGAAGATATCTCAGCATCTGATGAAGTGAGTTTCAGCCTATGAAAGCTATTCTAGTTACTCTATAAAGGTCCATATCTACCCTGCTTTCTGACTGACTTCAGAATAACTTGGCATAACTACCTCCACTCAGGGATCTCAGGAATAATCAGTCTGATACAACAGGGCATGAAGTTGGAGACAAGAATTACATTGGAGTATTCTGAAGTTTGTAGTATGTACTGCTGTCTGGTACCTGTTGGAAAGGGAAGTGAACACCTCATGGAGTGACTGAATATGTTGTAAATGGTTATTATTGTAGGTGACATAAAGATTGCAAAGAATTATGAAGACTTCCATACCTGTAAGGGTTTTGGTAGTTGGAAGACACCTTGCTATAACCTTGAGTTACTATATATGGACAAGATTTTTTTTAAAGGGACAAAGTTTCCAAGGAGATTTGTGCTGCTAAATTATTTGGACTACTGTGAAAATTCACCATATCTGACAAAAGATTTTTTTAAAATGGGGGCACTGTAAACCATAATGGGTTCTTAAATAAATGGTCAGATTTTCAGACGTCCATTACAACCAGCAATTTCTATTGATTTAGCAGGGGCAACGTGTAGGGGGTGCATGTGCACCCCCTGCGCATGGCAGTGTACTCCCTGCAAAAAGACATCGCCGATAGTGTCGGCAGCACCTGCAGGTGGTCACAACCCTGCCGCCGGCACTGCCGGTGGCGTCTGCAGGTGATCCATGATGGCCCCTGGCCACTGCTGCCACTGGTGCCTGTGGGTGGTTGCTGACCCCTGACTGGCGCTTGCCACCCCCACCCTGGCTGCTGCCAGCACCGGCAGCATCTGTGGGAGCTCCCAGTTCACCGCTGCCATGCTCCCATGGCCGCCACTGTGCTCCTGCTGCTGCCAGAGCAATCATGCTCCCCCAGCCACTCAGGCATGCGCCGTTCATGTGGTTTAGTTACAGTTTTTCAGAACTCAGGCCTCTTTTCAGGCACCAAAATATAAATTTAATAGCACCCAAATTTTAAAAAATCAAAAGCTGTTTGAATACTTACGTATAGACATAGGTCTCTGAACATGGAGGTTATGAGAATGAATGATGAAAATCACTGCTTGGAGTCAGGCAATATGCAGACAAGTGTCATGAAAGTTTCCTTGTAGGCACCATGGTAGTTTCCTGCAAATACAGGTCTTTATTTTAAATTGTTACACTCTTCCTAGAGTTACTATTGACCCTCTCCTGAGAAAAAGCTACTCTTAATCGTGTTGAATTTTGTGGTGTCCCCAAATATTGTATTGGGTGCTGTAAACGTAGTGTTTGTTGTGTTCTAGGATTATCCTTAATATAGATGGACAAACTGTGAAAAGATGTCTGTAGTAAATTAACAAAATGCATAGCTGGTTAAGAAGAAATGAAAGATTCAAAAACATTATCTCCTTTTGTGAATAATTAAAACATAACACCAATAAATGAAAACACTATAGACCAGTATAGTACCATTCAGATTATTTATTTTCTTTAAGTGGACAACCTTTAACTTTGATGTTATTAACTTTTTTCTTTGAAATTTCTTAAGAGCCCTTGGCTGAGAATTCTCACACTAATCTTGGTACACATGGGAAACAAAGGGAGAAGGAGATTTTCCAGAGTGTCTGTATGTATGTGTGTGTATGTGCTTTACAACTTTGAACATATATTTATACACTGTCTTTACAATCAAGTCTTTAAGAAGTCTTTTCTACGGAGGGGGAAAGAATCAAACGACCAAAGACTTAAGCCCATATGATCCATGTGAGATTTTCCAGCATAGTCCCACAGAGCTTCTCCAGCATTCTGTTTTGCTGGAATAGTACTCCATCTAGTAGTACTCCTTTATGAGACGAAACCTAGAGCTGAGGAATTCATCTCTCAAATTTTCTTAAATCCACTAAACGGTAAATAATTTAAATGATTAAATTTAAATATCAAGACATTTAGTTATTGTTCATATCGCTCATCTTTAACCTTCTAATAATATATCACATTTTTAAATAAAAAAAAACAACAAAAAAGACTTCAAAGGGTATACACTACACAGTCTTAATGGCTCTTGCTCCCTGGGAAAAGCTGTTACAATATTATCATATATCCCAGAATTTTTTGAAGCAATGGAACAGAATTGTCAGTTGGCAACTTTCACTCTGCAATCCAGACACTAAAACAATAGTTAAAAAAAATTACCTTGTGATTTTTTATCTGTATTAAAAAAAGAACACTCACTTCCTTTTTAAATTTTCAGTTTTGTTTTTTGTGAAACACCAGAAGATTTGGCAAAAAAAGATGTAAAATAAGACTGTCTTGATATATAAAAATTCCTCACCAGTAGAAGAAACACTGACCTTGATTTGGCCTGTTAAATTAGTTATTTCATTCATTTCATGTATTTTTCCTGCATATTTTGAAGCAATCAAGAGCAGAAATGGCTAAAGGCCAGGTTGGAAATCATAGAACAATTCTGCACCAACAATTCCTTTGACAGGAAAGGTGTCCATGATAAACAACAAAGCAAAGCAGAAGTGTATACATAGTATATGCTGTGAGTTGTGGGCAATGTGTATACATGTTGGATGTGTATATACTGTACGTTTGTGTGTGCCAGTGGATACATGCCCCTTCTTTAAAGCTGTAAGTAATGCTTAGCTCAGATTTTCCTGTTTGGTAACTTCTGGTTGGAACTAGCTTTTCTCCTGGGGGGGAGGGGGGGAGAAATAACCCTACAAGGCAGGCCCATCTTTCACTCACCAGTTCTGTATCTTCCTGGCAGTAAAATGGTTTCTAGAACAGTTGGATGAGGAATTATTTCTTACATAGAATATGGTATCTCTGCCATCTTAGCAAAATGAGATGTAACAAACAGAATGAACCAGCAGTGATTGTGGTGAAAACATTTCCACACACTTAGACCTCAACTTTTTTTTTTTTCCTTTTTTTTTCTTTTTTTGGAGGCTTTGCATCCTCCAGAGCATACATTTTTGAAAAATAATGTGGTGGCATAATAGGGCTTAGGGGGTCTGTGAACATACTTCAGACTTCCCCCTTCTTCTTCTTGCACTTCCAAGGGCTGCCCCATTTTTGCCACCAAAAGTGAAAGTGGTTGCCCCTTTTGCATCACCTCAAGAAGACAGATTGAGCCTCATGGATTCTTAGCAGAGGCCAATATACTTGAGATTGTTCTGAATGATGACATCTGTCACCGCATCAAAGACAAACTGGATATTACTGGTATCAGTGGCACAGGTGAAGTGTGAGTAGATCTCCTTGGTTTCCTTGTTACGATTCAAGTCCTCAAATTGACGTTGGATGTAGACTGCTGCCTCCTCATAAGTGTTTTGGCCCTTGTACTCAGGAAAGCAAACTGTTAGCGGGATGCGCCGAATTTTTTCTGCCAGCAGATCTTTCTTATTGAGAAAAAGGATAAGGGAAGTGTTGATAAACCAGTTGTTGTTGCAAATGGAGTCAAATAGGCGCAGACTTTCTGCCATTCGACTCTGTAGAAAATGAAACAACAGTGTCAGCAATATTTTCACGCAACTATGCAACATGCATAAGAATGTATCATTGCAGCTGTTAATGAGCAAAATGTCCTTTTAGAATGACCTTTTCTGTTTCTCACACCTGTTGTATTGGTGCCTGTATGTCTTACTTTAGGATGAAATTTCAAAAACCTTAATTTTCTAATGTTGGCATATCAGAGATCACCAGAGAAAAGGCCTTCTCCATTTGACTTTTATTTAAATAATGGGAAACAGTAAAGCAGTGTCTAAAACTGAATTTTTTAAGAACAGCATCTGTAATTGTTAGAAGAGTCACTGTTTTTCCAAGTCAGATTAACATTACTAATATTTTCAAATAAGATGAGTGAATCATTATGGCAATTTCCTGCTACAGAAGCATTCTGCTCTTAAGGAGGATTTTGCAACCGTTAGAGTCATAGGATAACTTTTCATATACCAGAATCCTAACAATAAAATGCCTTCTTCAGTATAGTACACTTTGGGCATATCCCTGGTGGCACATGTTTATTTTTAGATGCTACATTGCCAAGGTAGCTTGTCGCTACGGCGACGTAGCATTGGCATCATGGTTTGTGCCTGCCAATGCTACGTCACTGTAGCGATGAGCTATGTCGACATAATGTGTTATTATGGCAACATAGCATCATGTGTAGATATGCCCAGTTTGGGCCTCCGTTTGTAAACCAACCATCAGTTCCTGCATTCTTTTTCCACATGTATAAAAGTAACTTTGGAAGGATATGCAGAAAAAAAGGCTAAATTCTACTCTTGGGTGTAGACACATTTACAGAAGTGAGACAATAATGAGCAAACTGATTTAGGTAACACTACTGTCAGGAGCAGGCAGACAACTGACTCTCCCTAGATGGATTCCTGCACCAGCTCGCTCATAATTCCTCATCACTCGGTGGTGGAGAACCTAAGAATAGCCTGTTTTTATTTAGTAAACAGCTACTCTGGGGTGAAATGGACTGGAGTTGGAGACACATGGCCTTTACGCTTGTTTAACTTAACAATGAAATGGCGTCTTACATTGACATAAGACCATATGGCCACTCCACATTTATCCCAGTGTAAAGACAGGCTACCGTAGTGTAAATGTGTCCTTTGGCTACAGCTTCAAATGCATGGGAAAACTCAAAGTGAGTTGTGAACTTACAGCTACATTTTTGGGCCGAAAGAACTTAGTAGATGTACCTAATCTTCCACTTGCCTTTCTAAACTGACAAATCCTTTGACAACAATCGTGGAGTGACTAACAAAAGTCATTTACATTTTGAAATATTTATTACAGTTAAGGAAACTAAGGTTGAGCTTGGACATCTGTTACAAACTAGAGCCACATTTGCCCTTTCCTCTGCATACTCTTCCTTCATATATTGCTGCTGTGAAGTCTTAGGCAGATGGAGCTCTCCGTGGTACTACTTACTATTGGAAGCCTGAGTACCAGGAGGACTTCCTATATGTTTTGTGTAAAGAAGGAAAAATATTCCAGCTGCTGCAAATATTGATGGGATGTCTCTTGATTAAGGATATTTATGCTAAAGGGTATGGCATTTCTGCCTGTTGCAAATTAAGTCCTATTTGTTGCTAAAATTTTATTCCTCCAATATAAACATTTTATTCAGTTACTAAAGATATTCAAACCTCAATGTCATTTATTTACCATCCAAAGCCTTCAGAGTCCTATTACAAAAATATTGCCATCAAGTCTGAAAGTTAAGTCACCTTCTGTGACTCTCTCATAGGATCAGACAAGAATTTATAGCAGATCTAATGTATGAATTTAAAGTTGTAGAATTTTAAGTCAGTGAAAACGTGAAGTAGTGGCAAGAGAGTTGCACACTTTCATGCACTGGGCTACCTCTTGTTTTCTGTGCTCTGTCATTAGAAGACAAGTGCCCTTTTTAACTAAGTCACTATTAAATTATGTATTTCTGTTATTTCAAAGGTGGTTGGTACCTAGTCAGGAGCAAAGGGGAATGTAAGATTCAAAATACAGGATGTAAGAAGTATGTAAGGTATCTCAACATGGCCCACCTGGCACAAAACATCTGAAAATTCATCAAAGTTGGGCTCCTCAGGCCAAATTTAGAATGAGTTTTAAAGTAAAAGAAAGGTTGTTATAAGAATACGTTTTTTAACTGGTGTGTGGATAG